GTTTTTAATCGGGAAGTACTTGGTTGAGAGCAGAACTTTGTCTCCAACTTTGTACTCCACGTCTCGTCGATTTCGATCGGCAAATGACTTCTGACGATCTTGCGCCGCCCGCAAGAAAGTCTTCGCGCGTTGTATCCCGTCTTGGATTCGGGTTACGAAGTCATTAGCAGCCGGTGCCGGAGCGCTGCCCAGTCCCAAGGGGTTACGGACCTGCCAACCGAAATTAAGTTCGAAAGGAGTCGACTGGACGGTAGTTTTCGTGAAAACATGGGGCGAATCGCTCCGATCGCACGGCTTCGCGGCGAATTTGCGCCGGATCGCGGAGTTCCCCCGGGCACATGGTAAATTGGTTTTCCCGACCCGAATTCAGCGGCGACCAAGGCTTCCGTTGATAACAGCACGTGTTTCGGGTTTGCCAGGGGTTTAACCCGGTCAGTTGTAAGAGACCAACAATATTCAAATAATAGTTGTATAGTTGTCATGAACTGGCTTCCTTTAATGCATATTACAATTTATCGAGCGGATATGCTCGTATTAAATGAATACTGGCGTTACGTACGGTACTTCGGTCCTGAAAGTGAACCTCAGGCTCCGCGGTCTGGACCACTCTGAGCATCACTGGAACCGTGACCCAAAGCCCACTCAGCCCACTCAGCCTTAGGAACTTGCCGTGCTTGCCCCATCTGCCCCACAGCCTATGCAGCTGCTCTTGCGCTTTGCGTTGCGTTTGATAGAGCCAGTTTAGCTTAAGACGCGTCTGCCGCCACCAACCACAACTGTATTAATGCTGCAGTGAACAGGCTGAAGAAGGCAGCTGCCGAGGCATGACAGGCAGCTGATTCAAGAGGCACATGAAGTATGCCCAGCACTTGCCCAGCTTGTGACTGCTTGTTTATGTGTTGGATGTGTTGCAAAAAACTGAAACGTTTAAGTAAGCAGCTGCCTGCAGGAGTGTAAGTGGTAAACACCTTGCAAGGCGTGTCAAGCTCGTGTCGAGCTAATCGAGCGACATTCCAGACACTTGCCAGACAGAAGCGTCTTGCGTTCTGCTGCCTCGCAGCTCGTGAGCTTTTCAACCTGCAAATTGGTTATCAAGGCAGCCAAGTGGCAGCACAGACTTCTCAGTGCAGAACAGCACGTGAACTTCCCTCCCAGCTTCTGAGTCGAGTCCAAACAAAGGGAACTTTGATGATGGGCCTGGAAAGTTCAAGGCTTGAGAAGCATACAACCAATGCGTGTGGCATTAGGTTGAGCTATTAAACACTGCAGTTTGGATCTTCTGTCGAAGATGCTCGTTGAGGAGGAGCAGTGAATTGGAGTTGGGTTCGAGCTGATGCTTAGGCTAATGCTCGTGGTCTTGGTGGATCCTCGAATTCTGTGGTGCTTTTGAAGTCATTCGTGATTCTGAATCTTACTGAAAGGACAAACAGTATCTTGAGATTGTCTGCCCTACCGCAAATTTTTACGCCTTGATTTGCCTGTCTGAACTCTTTGAGTACTTCACTGTTATACAGCTTAAGCTACACTATGAAACGAGGCATGGTTTATCGACAAAACAAGAAAAAACAAGGTGATCCACGAATCTGGTTTTGCTATCTGATGTGTGCCGCTTCGATTTGTGATGGCTTGCTTCCTTTACTTTAAAAACGAACTTGCTGTGTCTGGCTGCAGACGGTGCGAATGCATAAGACAGCCTAACTTTTCATTCACCTTGAGGCTCCTAGCTCAGTTGGCTTCAAGTTGGGAAAGGATACTGCCCGCAAGACTTGCAGCTGCACCCGAACCCAGGGGACAAAGATAAGCAGGTAATAGTTGTTGCCCCTAATTGTCTCGACCCCAAGCGACTTAACAAATTGTGATTTGTTGCCGGCCATCGTTTCCCTAAGATCGATTTCATGAAGTTCAAAGTGTGTCATTTATTCCATCGGAGAGGCAACTTGTGATGCATCAAGCGAACACGGTTTCGAACTTCGTCTGGGCCCGCTCTATCTGACAATCCAGGATGGCCAACGAAGAAAAAATATTACAAAAGTACCGTTCCATTAACATCAACACTCCATTCATAGCTCCGTTTGGCCTAGCCTCAAAGTTTTGGGGAGGCGGTATCCATTAAGGAACCTTGTACTTGCTCGTTGACTTTGATGATTTTTTTTGTGAGTACAAAGCCTGCTTGCACTGGCAAGTTGGGCAGCTTCATTCGTGTGCGAGCGCAACTAATTTGAGCTGCACATCTTCAGTTGTGGCTTGCAGGTTTACATCCGTGGCGAGTTTGTGGATAACTTCCAAGTGATCGGAGGCCAGGGCCACGTTCGTCGACGGAGGCAGTGCTGAAGGTAGGTCGGGACCCACAGCATCATCCCGCCTCGAGAACGCTGTAGCTTCATGTCACTTCGCGTGGCTTTTTAAACTTCATCAGTTGACTTTATTGAAGTTCAGATGAAGGAATAGCGTAGCGGTGAGTCCAGTTCTGGTAAGTTCAGCAAGTTGGTCTAGAATAACTGGAAGCGAACTTCCTTGCAGTTGAGTCAGTTACTGTCGATAGCATCTCATTAGATTCGTGCGACCCCTTTGCTATGATTATGCATCTCGTGGAACTCAATAGCTTTTGTATACATGTCAACTGCAATCATTAAAGGAAACCTTGATAGACAATATCTATTACGACTAGAACGCAAAGCGTGAGCTCTCTCGTCTAGAAGCTCTCCGAGACTGATTGAGTCGTTCATATTTCGTTGACAGCCGTGTGGCCGGTCTCACGTTGGACACGACAGCAGCTCGACAGAAAGCACCGCTCGCGGCAGCCTTAGATAGTTTTCCATCCCAGCTTCCCATCATCATGAGTTTGGCCCTTCAATTTTCTCACTTACAGGCTTCCGCTTGTGAGGCCCTATCTGCGAATCATGTGGCAGGGAGTCTATTTATTGAAGAGTGCGGTCAATGAATTCCGAAAGATTGCTTATAATATTTTTTTCCATGATTTGCAGCATGCATGACTTCCGTTTCCATTTAGCGACTGATTGGCCCGATTGCACCATTGCACGACGGTCAGGTCGAGATCGATCAGCGAGTTTGCAAGGGTCCGCCAAAACAAATGTGCAACTTCAGTATAAAAGAACATGGCAGGCTCGAACCCATGAATTGAACATTCTCATGATGCCACGATCGAACCTCGACTGGGCCCCGTTCATGAATTCATCGTCAACCTTTCGGTTCTACGATCTGACAGATCACAACGGTGACTATAAACTGTATTCCACTCTCCGAATCTTGTGGTCAAACCTGTTCTTAGGTGCTATAAATATAAAGCAACCGTGCCTTCGAGCAAATTTGCGTTTCCTTAATGGCACATGCCATATGCATTTGCATATGATGATCGATGCATGGTCTCGGCATTGGTTTGCAAGTGACCCGACCGAGCTGCATATACGTGTGAATAAACCAATTAACGGCCGGCATGCCGCGCCGGGTAGTACGTACGTATGCCAGCTGGCACGGATACTAGCTGAGGCAACAGAGCGGCCCGCTTGCGCCGAGATTATGTACTAATGCACGTGTACATATATATCTTAGTACGGTATGCACTTTTGTGGTGGGCACAGTATTGAGCGTGTCCGCGCGCGATCGCTAGCTCATGCAGGCGGCCATATACGAACATTCCGACCCTGCGAACCTGGTCAGAGACCAAGTTTTTTTACTATTTGATTGAGACCCTGATCATCGAGTTGGAAATTTAGCAACAATTTTCAACTCCACTCGAGTCAGTCAGTTGTGGTTTCATTTAAAAATACCTAGCTCTCTTTGAGGCATGGCTTGCGTGGGGAACCCTTGCCTCCAATCCCTTCTTCTTACTGCTCCGGGGTTGAGCAAGCTTCTCTATATATTTCCAAGGTTGCGCAGGATCAATACCTGCTGCAGCTATACTAGCCTCGACTGCTTCAATTGCCGCTACTTCACCTAGATTACCTTTTCGGATGACGTCCTCTATGATCACGCAAATTTTGCGAAACTTCGAGAAATACCTTATCTCGTTAGCCCTGCCTTTCCTCCAAGCACAACCATACATCTCTTCTATCTCTCTCAAGGGAAGCGGCCAGCCTGGCTTGCCATGTGCCCATTCCTGCCAGTATTCAGCTACAGATTTGTAATGTCTTCCCATCGTGTATTCTGACGCCCATTTGGGAAGAACGTCAGCAGTGGACCGCACCCTAACAGAATCCCGCGCGGCGGCCCTGTCTTCCGGCATGTAGTCGTGCGCCACTCCCTCCTCCTGTGCGTGTTCGTTCGCAGGCCCCTTGCCTGATGCGCCGCTGTTCGCTGCATTGTCGTCTGGTGCGCGATCGTGCGCGGTCGGCGCCGCTGCCGGTGTGCCGCCGTTCGTGGCGTCCGCGTCCGATCGGCAGTTATCGGTGGCTCCCCTAACCGCTGCGCAGCTGTCGCCAGCTCCCCTGTCCGGTCCGTGCCTGTCCTCGGACGCCTTCGCCGGTGCGCAGCTGTTTGCAGCTTCCCCGTCCGTTGCGCGGCTGTCCGCGGACACCCCCGCTGGTGCACGGCTGTCCGCAGCTCCCCTGTCCGGCACGTGGCCGTTCGCGGACGCTTTCGCCAGTGCGCCGTTGTCCGCGACTCCCTTGTCCGGTGCGCGGCTGTTCGCGGACGCCCTCGTCGGTGCGTGGCTGTCCGCAGCCGTCCGTTCCGGTGCGTTGCCGTTCGTGGCGACTGCGCCCGGCCGTGCGCACCTGTCCGCGAGCCCCCCGTCCGGTGCGTAACTGTCCGCAAGTGCCCCGTCCGATGTGGGGCTGTCCGGAACGACCACGTCCGGTTTGCGGGTGTCCGCAGTTTCTCCGTCCGGTAAGGGGCTGTCCGTGGAAGCCTTCGTCTGTGCGTGACTGTCCGCAGCTCTACCGTCCGGCGTGCGGCTGTCCGCCGACGTTCCCACCTGTGCGTGGCTATCCGCTGTTTCCCCGGTCGAAGCGCGGCTGTTCGCCGGTCTCCCGACTGGAGCGCCGCTGTCCGCGGACGCCCCCGCCGGTCCGTGATTGTCCGCAGCTGCCCCGTCCGATGCGCGGCTGTCCTCAGACGCTCCCGCCTGTGCGTGGCTATCCGCCGCTCCCCCGATGGAACCGCGGCTGTCCGTGGCTCTCCCGGCTAGAGCGCGGTTATCTGCGTATGCCCCCGCCGGTGCGCGGCTGTCTGCAGCGGTCCCTTCCGGTGTCTGGCCGTCCGTTGGCGCTCTCTCCGAGCACGCGGCCGCTCGTGCGGCTGCTCTTAACGCAGCCTGTGTTGCTGCCGCAACCGATGAGCTCGGGGGCCGAGCGAAAAAGGTCGGAGGGCTTCTTCGTACAGCAGGTTGGTTGCGGTCCGCGTCAGTTGAAGCCGTACGTTCCGCAGACGAGGAGGGGCTCGGAATTGCCCCAAAACGTTGGCTGGTGCTGGAGTCCTGAAGGAGTCGTCTAAGCCCCGCCACCTCCTGCGTCAATTCCGCAATCTGCTTGAAGCCCGCTCGTTCCTTCTCCTTGCAGTCGCGAACATCTCGTTGGATCCCGGCCAGCAGTGCCTGATGGTCTCGAAGAAGTGAGATTACCTGCAAAGAAGCACAATATCATGCAGAGTTGTCACGGCTTATATTGGATCCAAGCGTGTAAGGTCACTGATCAACGACAATCTATGGCGTTCGCGGAGCTCGGCGAAATCTGCGTAGTTCCTCTAAGCAAGTTCAGGTGAGCCTCTCATTTCGAAGTCAGAATGCTTGCTGAACGGTGCGTTTCATCCTGGTAGGTAGTAGAAAGATGACATGCTATCTAGGATTCGAAGCAGGGGACACCAGAAAAAAGACTGCAGCTTACGAATGCACCCGTCAAAAAGCATTCGTCTCTCATTTAATTGGTTTAGGATTAAGCCTTAAAGCTCAGGTTGCACGACGGATCACCATGATACTTGAAGACGTCAGGAACAAGCTCGTGCTTACTCGGAACAGGTCAAGCGGACGGATATAACAGAACGAAGCGATTGGAGTCCAATTGATCGAAGCGGAGAACATCACTCGACAGGGCCATCACGTGTTTGTCGTTTATTTAAGTACCTCGGTCCGTAGGTAAAAGCACGAGACAATGCATCTTAGCAACCAAGTTACTGTATTAAGTAAAGTCAGCCGAGAACAGGACAGGCTTCCGGCACACGTGGTCAAGCTCGCAGTCTCGCAATCTAAGCTTTTGGTTACAGCCCCCCATTTTTCAACTAACTGAACGGTCTTACCTCAGGCGGCAGATTCACAAGCTGAGGCGGAGCTTCCGGTGAGTTGCATCCCTCCAACACCTCTGCCGCGAACTTGTCCCAGTCCTCGCCTTCGAAAATGGAGTGGTAGATGATGGGGTGACCGAGGTACTTCTCAAAACTCTGGAGCTCGGCGACGTCCTGGAGAATGACCGCCCGTAGCTCGATGAGCAGCTCGATGAAGCGCTGTGCGGCAATGTCTCGCTCAGCCGCGGGCCGCGTAAGATTCTTCTGCAAACAAAGTTTAAAGATTGGCGTTCCTTCTCACGGACAACCTTCGGACGAAGTCGACTCGTTTCTTCTCTAAAAAGCTGGTCAACTTATAGACAAAGAGAGACGGCTAGCGCGCTGCAATCACCACAATGGCAAAAGAAGAAAGCCGCATTCCACCGATGGTGCCAGCTCGTCTTTGAGTCTGAAGTGCTCGATTCGCATGAGCGAGATTTGAAGTTACGTGTATTGAACAGCTACAACGGTTGATCTCTTTCAATTGTATCTTGCTTGAACGCGCCTATTTGCTTCAAAATCCGTCCATTCACCGCACGGCTGGGCAACAGGATAAGCAAACACCCTTTCGATTCAGCCATTTCATTGCGCTTGCCAATTTTGTAACGAGCGGATCAGGATAAATTTACGTTCTTAACGAACGCCAGCGCTTCTTCCGCCCACGGAAAGATCTTCGTCGCCAGGTCTGGATAGTTGGTCTCGGGCCGAGCGCGCCCGCGTTTCAGGACGTAGGCCTTCCGGTCGTCCGAAGACCCGGCGTTGATGAGCATGGCACCAACTGGCAGCTGATTCAGGTAGGACGTCCGAAAGTGGTCGTAGATCCAGCGTCCAAGGCGGGCGCTCTCTCCCTCTTTCCCTCTGCAAGAACAAGGAACGCACCCGAGTCGGTCTTTCAACTTTTGGATTTTCAAAATGCGGAAGATCGAGCAAGAACTCTTCAAGGCCGTCTATGAATTCAAAGCAGTTGGGAAAGGGGTACTTCGACCAGACTTTAGGCGACGGACGTGTTCTCAACACGCAGACAGAATACATAAAGGAGAGGCTACGGCCAACTTTATTAGTGATTATGAGAAATCTAAAAGTACTGGACAGCAAACATGCTGTTAGAGCGGATGCTCTCAAAGCTGCCCGACTACAGGACGATGTACATTCTGGCGGTGTTGCTTACCCATTATCTTCGGCGTGCCGGACGGAGGACCCACGTGGCGCGTGGGTAATCTTGCTGCTCACCACCTGCTCATGCTGAAACATGGCCTTGAAGTGCTTGAGCTGGGTGTCGTACTCCAGCTTCTCAAAGATGTTGTCGTCCTCGTAGAAGAGCGGAAACTTGTTGTACCTGCATCAAAGAAAAAACCCCGGTTCTAAGATGCTTACGATGAAAAGCTTTTCATTCCTCCATAGAGACCGTGTGCTAACTTAAATTACCAAGAATCAGCCCCGGAATCTGCAACCTGATGCATAAACATGATAACCAGTCTCAAGCAACCAAGGGATTCCTGATTGTCTCACCAACTACAGCGTCACCAGCCTTTCCTTGCCCATAATTCGCCCAGCACGACGATGCCACTTTTGAAGGACTTTAAGACTCTCTTTCCTTTAGAGGCGAGTCGCTCGAAGTCGCTTATTTCGAGAAAACAGTCTCGGAAGCAACCATCTATAAGCTTACCAGGCAGCCCTAGAGCTGAAATCCGGGAAGGAACCAGGCTCCGGAAACAGGATATGGAACGTTTGGAAAAGCTGGAACGCCACAGCACCGACGGCGCACTCCTCCACGTTCGTATGGCGGAAGCCCCCAAAATACTCGAGCCGCCCGTTCTGAAAGAGTGAGTACTGCTACGTCACCGACTCGCATCGTGTTGAAGAGGGCCCAAGCTTGGCATCAGAAGCGTGCATTTGACGTTGCAATAATACCCGAATCCAACACCGATGAGAGAAGAATTGCTTTGATCGGAAAGCAGTATCTGAGCTGACTCAACTTGCCTAGATATTGAAGCTTGAATTAGCACGTGTACCAAAGGAATCAACCCCGTCTTCTTTGGAACTGCCTGAACGGGAACACAAGGCTGACCTCCTGCCTTAATCTGTTCGAATAACTCAAGTGCTTGTCGCTCGATCGAGAAAAGAGCTTTCGAGACTATGTACCTTGTTCGTTTTGCCGCAGTAGCTGACCCCGCCCACAAAGAGAGGAACGTCCGGTCCCACATTGGTGAACTTCTTGCAGTACAGATCTGGAAGGTCGATGCTGCGTCCGTCGTCGCCTCGCAGGACGAATTGGTGCGAAGCAAGAAACATGCCCCTGCCGCCGAGAAAAGGAAGGCTTCAGTCACGAACTTACACATTGAAAAGCAACTAATCCCGCTCTGAATGTTCACTGAATTCACTCCGATTGTCCGGGTAGAAATCTGAACGCAATACCTTCGCGATTGGCTCTGGAAGGAGACTCTAAAGAGGGCGCCAACTCAAGCAAGCCTGATGGCCAAATATAAGCAAGCTTCATGCTTCGACGAACGTTGCTTAGCGCTGGATGCACGTGAAGTGCTCACTAAGCGGGTGATCTGCTCTCACCTCATTGTAGTGTGTTGATGTGCTGGTCCGACCTCATCGCCTTCATTGAAAATGGTGTTGGGACAAGCAGCATGGAGCCAGGCCCGACACAGCCGCGACTTTTCCTCTGCCGTGTAGCCATCCGACTCGGTCCCAGCTTGACGGTCGGCGCAAGTTCTGCAAAAAAGGCAGTGGTGGACCATCTGGTCGTCAACTAACAAAGTTTTCTGTACTTGGACCTGCTCAATTCAGAGCAGCATATCCTCCCGGAGCTGTGACTTTGGAACCTTGTAAATCAGGAGAAACACGATAACTCAGAACCGAAACTACTATACAAACTGAATAGTACTCCCTCCGACGACTCCGTCTTTATTTGCTGACGTCACGTTCTCGAATTAAGTCCAAAAGCATGCTCAGGCATTAAAAACAGGTCTAGAACGGGCATACACTTTGAGCATTTTCCAATATGCAGTAACGGGCTAATGACCTGAAGACCGACAAAACCACAGCCCGACTCAGGCGGGTGTACACGCAATGATTGTAAAGCGAGCGCATTGATTACAGAGGCGGCAAAAGGGAAGAAGATGACGAAGCAGAAGATAGCCGAACATGACACCGAGGGACGTACGCACCGGATTTTTTTTCGCCCTGTGTTCAGCTGGGCAGCTTTTAGGAGCTGTTGCATGGTGGGAATAGCGCGGACGTCGCACGACTGCTCGTGGATGCCATCCAGATTGTCTTGGACGAGCGCAAAGAATTGCATGCCTTTCACGAAGTTGTTGACAACTCCGAAAGACTGCGAAGAAAGGACACTCTTAGGAGAGTACTTCAGAGAACTTCGTAGAACGTGATTCTTGTTTTTTTGAGCTTTTGCTCTCAGTGAGATATGCCCCTCTCAAGGATCCATTGAATAGGAGAAAAGTCAAGGGAAGGCCAACCAAGCAAAGAGGAAAGCTCACGACTTTCAAATGACGACGCGCCTACAAAGGATCCGACTTCAGACGAGCAATCGTATGACTGACCAGGGCACGGCATCAACAAGACGGAATCAGCAATCTGGGATAATCCAGATTGCACGGTGTCACATTCCTACCGTACATATGATTGAATCAGTTCCAAAGATCATGAGTGGCACGACCACTTGTGGCCGGGTCAAACGGGTGGAGGGAACCGTGTACCTTCTGGAATAGTTACACAAGCCAATAAGGGGACCGGGCTTACCATATCCTGGTTGTTAAGTTGGGTTAGGAGATTCACGGCTAGAGCAATTCTGCTCGTGGTGATTCTTGGACCAGCTGCCCAGGCTGGTAGCGTTGCTTGACGCAATAGTCCTTGAACGTAGGCACTCCTCGGCGGGGCCCAGTCACCATCCGCGGTTCCATGGCCGTTCTTCAAGCAGAAGTTCTGTACGAACACATTCAAAGCCGTCAGTGTCCGTTTCCTTTTATGTGGTTCCAGTCAATCGAGAGCGGTCTGACAAGCAATTCCACTGTGCCACTCAAGAGGAGCCAGAGCAACACTTGGTAAGACCGCTTGGCAGATGCACTAAAAATGGCCTTCTTGATAAGCCTGCCGATTCACCAGGTTGCACATCCAATGACAGCGGGCAGCCTTGTAGAAGCAAAGTGTCGGTGTCGAGATCTCAGGGGCAGGACAAAACTTGAATATTCAAGAACAACATTGAGAATCTGAAACATCGGTGTTGTTTTCTGCTTTTGCATCTATAGGGGGTCGTTTCTTTGGGGCAATCGTGAAAAGAGCGAGCTCTTCGTACAGCTGACGTCATTCGCTTCAAAGAATGAGACGATGATGTAAGGTGGTCTGCTCGAAAACTTGCACTTGTTCAAGTCGAGAGCCATGCTCCCGCGACGTCGCACAACCTGTGCGGCGTCGCAAAGAAGCTCGGAAAGAAGATGCTGACAAAGCTGGCTTCAACAGTTTCACGCACCTTGTATGTCTTCAACGCTCGAATGTAGTCTTTGTAGCTCTTGGGCTTCAGCTCATCCACCTTCATGATTGCCGCCGTCCAATTAGCCTGCGCCAATTGCTCCGCGTGGCTCATATAACCGGGCACTCCGGTTCCGCTCGGGGCATCTGGAGCGTTCTCCGACCCCTGGTTTTCTTCCCCGGAAGCCTGCTCGTTCCCTTCGGCAGGGCCCCGGGTCTCCGGCTCCTCCCGACTGGTGCCCGGTATGCCTGATTGCATGCCCGGTGGTTCCGCCGCGATCCCGTCGAGTACGCTAGTGCCCGCTCTCCGCCCACCCCGCCGACTTCTCCCTGAAGCAGCTCCGGCGCTTCCCCCCCGACCTGATGTCCTTCTCACCGGAGCCCCGGTTGCCCCCCCCCTCGCTTGATTCCGCTTCCGTTTTCGCGGCGGGCCCTGAGGTTCAGGTTCTTGGGGAGTCCCTTGCGAGCGCGACGATGGAGTGCCGTCAGCAGCAGCGGCAGTCCTTTGGCCACGCTGTCCAATGGGGACGTCCGCTCTATCGTCATCCTCTCCCTGATCCAGGTTCGAGTGCGGTGAAGGTGTAGCTGGGCCCGGATTCTTTTCGATGCCGCTCCGAAGAAGCAGGATCTCTGCAGTTACCAAACAGGCTGGTCAAACAACGTCGTTTCTGGTTACGAGACCGTGTTTCAATGTGGGTAGATCCCCAGGTAGAACAAAAAATGCTCGAGGTCTAGCATCCGCACTGGCAGTTGTTTTCGAACGGAGTGTGTAAACTTCAGTCTGCTCAAGCATGGCTGGCCGAGACCTGATTGATTCCAAAGTAAGTCAGAGAGTCACAAGCCGTGCCTAAACCAATATTTAATTGCATCGCTGGCCAGGTTGACCGGAGGGTCGGGAATTGCGACAAAGAGGCTTGCTATACAGTGAAGTACGTGAGCTTTATAGAATGGTAAAATCGAACAAGGTCAAAACTGTGAGATGCGCTTGACAAAGCAGCTTAGTTTGATAAACCATACTTTGATCACAGGGCGCGAAGCAGATGAGGCTAATCAGACCGGCTGGCTAAAGAGCCCCGCATTTCAAGACCGTTCCAAGGGCCTGGTTGTCGGCCATAGTTCAAAACATAATCCGGTCAGAACATAATCTAGTGCCTTTAGGTGAGCAGGGAGAGAGAAGAGACAACATAAGATGGCAGTGAAGACATACCAATGATGGCTCGGCTCAGTGCTTGTTGGATCCCAATATTGAGATCCTTACGGAACTTCTCCGTCAGCCCAGCTACGCTCTCCAGCCAGTAGCGAGTGCTTCCAACAGAGCTGGTCCAACCTGTGAAAAAATGCTTGAAAATGAATGAACAATTCCAAAATTGATACTGAACCTAATTCCTTTCGCATGTCCTGCACATTCATGAAGCATCTTCTGTACGTTCAACGTAGTAGCCTGTTGCATCTTCTGTGTGTACAACTTAGTAGCCTGTTGCTCGAGATTGAAAGTCGATTGTACTGGCTGACTGAGAAGTACCACTATAGCTCATGGCTACTGCACACAAAATGGGCCATGATAAGCACCCACAAAATCCATCGATACTGCAGAACCCTCTCTGCGGAACACCTTGTACCTTGATCAGAAAAATCTGAAATAGATGCGGCAGCCCTGGCGCATCGCCAACATGGAGAGAGGATTACGATACAGCGAAGACAACCTGACCACCACAATGAGCAATTGCTGTGAAGCCAAGATTCTTCTTCGCCTTGATGATCCGAACCTTTTGGCACAAAGTGAAGTAGTGAAGTACGTGGCAGAAGGTATTTGGCTGCACAAGTTATGTGGGCGCTCACACAGCAGCTGCCGTGCGGTTGTGAGAGCCGTCTCCAGCATCTTCCCACGCCAGCTTTCTTGCAGCTCTTGAAGCTCCTTTAAGCGACGTGCAACTTCCGCATGAGACTTGGCCTTGTCGTCAATCTGGCGCTGCATGCGTCTGTCAATCCAAGCTGCACGGGTAGAAGATGTTCTATAGGCAATTCAAAACCTTGATACGAAGACTTCATAAGGTTTTGCTATGCTGGGGTTGAAAGTCTGAAAGTTCCCTTACCCTGCTGAGCTGGTGTAAGCACCAGGGGGCAGTCTTGCTCTGAGCGAGGAAACAACTTCATGGAAGGACTTTCATTCTTGGATTGCCAACTACATACTTAGCGAAAATCGGCCCTTCAAGAGCGAGATGCATTCCCAATGATCACCTAAGCAGGAATCATCTGAGTACTAACTTGCATAGTTCTAATGTGCAGCGGACTGGAATTGTTATCACCTTGGCGTTCAGGATCAATGCGAAAGTAACCTGCAGCGGCGGTTCCGCTGCGAGAGTCTGCTGGCTTGTGCCTCTGACACTGGTATTCAATTTCACCACCCTGCTTGCCCCCCAGCCGTCCATGTGAAGCATGAGCCCCACAGCAATCGCATTGCAGTTGAAAAACATCTGCAAATGACCAAGAGGATCCCATAGGTACCTCAAATGAGATCAACATTGAGCATCAAAGCACCTGGGGGCCCCTCTGGCAACTTCTACGCAACATATTCTCGCACAAGTGGTCAGACATGACGCTGAGGATAAAGGCACCAATCAGATTCAAGACGTCTGTGGTTATCTGGTCAAACGACTGGGCTGGGTGAGCTACCAGGCTGCATGTACGGCCCACTAAGCTATCCAATAATGCATCAGCCTCCGTCAAACAAGCAGGTTTCTAAAGTCCTTTATACCCATTGAGACACAATGCATGGGCAACCAAGCAAGTGAGACAGCGTCATGTCCACAAAGCCAGGATTTACGTAAACATGTCAGAGGCATGTCAAAACTCATAGCAAAAACACAACCGGTCAGAGGAATGTCCAAAGTTAGAGCCAGAGTAAGCACTGTATACCTGACTTGGCATTCAAAGGAAAGAGGTGCAAGCTCTTACCGCCTGGCTCTTTGATCAGGATGGATGCCGCAAAGTGAGATGGCTTCAATACACTGCAGGGTGCAGACTCTCTAGCTGTGGAGGGGCTGTCAGGTGCGGGAGATGCAGTAGGGTGGCTATTTTGGTGATGCAGCTGGGTCCCCTGCTTTAGATGATTGGTCCTACGGTGCTCTGGAAGCGAGACAGGACGAGCTGTAGCCCCAAGCGAGCTATTAGACATGGAAACCATGGAGGTGGGCTTCTTCAAGAGGTTTAGCCCATCTGAAAACCTCCCAGCTACTGCCATTGCCACAAGACAGTGGTGCCCGCAGCAGGGAACAGAGGGAACCCTGCTCAGCTGCTCAAGCTGACCTGCGAAAGGAGAGAAAAGGAGATGGAAATATATGTCCTGGACCTCTTGCACTCCTCCTTGATTTGACCCCCTTCTTCTCAACAGAAGGTTCATGAAGGTTCTGTCATGGCGCCTTCCTCCCGCCTTCCTCTTGAGCTCTCGTATCTGGTTGGAACAGTACCGTGCCATCGAACCAACTTTAAGGTCTGATCTGTGATGCTGGCAGCTGATCAAATGTGTCAAAGCCATGCCTAGGTAGGTAATATGCCTGGTTACGGTTTGAAATTTGAATTTGAACAGATGGGTTCAAGCGACGGTTTGCCGTGCAAATTGAGTTGCACAACCGTCGGCGATAGGGGGTAAGCACGCGGCGGGGCCCGGCCCGGCGGCAAAGAAACTTTGCTGTATGCATCGCAGTATGAAGCAGAACGATATGTGCTCGCATGGACTCTCCAGAGCGTACAATAGTCTTCAGTACCTAGGACTACTTTGTAGTGTCTTGATCGCATAATCGCTTGGTTATCGCCCGGTCTAAAACCGGGGATCGCATGCGATTTCACAGACTGTCGCCAGGTACAGGGTGACTTATACGGATTCATTCCAGCTGGAATTGTAAGCAAACTGTGCATTCGGCAGCAGTTCGTCCCAATTATCCAGCGAAGCGCACACAAACATGCGCAAGTACTGCTCGAGCGTGCGGTTGGCCCGTTCAGTACTGCCGTCCGTTTCGGGGTGGAACGCTGTGCTTCGGAGCAAGGTTGTCCCGAGCTTGCTTGCACACG